CAGAGACGACGATGCGTCAAGGAGTAGGAGAGGAAGGAGAAGGTTGGGTAGATTACAAGGTCGTACGGGTAGAGCATCGTGATCGTCGGAGCTGCGCATGCCCCACGCTTTGCGTCATTGCCATGATGCAGAGTCATGACAATGGCGGTGTACACGTGTAACATGGTCAGGAAGCTTGTTTACTCCCAGTTACCTGACAACGTGAGTGAGTGTCTCAGTACTTCGAAGGATACCGCCCGTTCTCTTGATCGTCGGGGCTGGAGTTCCTTTGGGGTTGGTATACGAACCGGTTCATCATCTGGCCTTGCTGCATCGGCATCATGTGTACGCCGTTGGGTTGCATCTGGGCGATGCCATATGGGTTTTGATGGCTAATATCGCTGCCGAGGAAGTTGTTCATAGCGGCGCCATGGAGGCCCTGGGCCTGCGACACTGGGCAGTCCTTGTGAGCTAGAAGAAGCGTCTTGAGGTTAACTATCTCTTCGCGAAGCTGAGTGACGGTAGCAGAGAGCGCGTCGTTCTCTGTACTAAAAAGTTCGACTTTAGCTTGGAGGTTGGCCAACCACTGCTTCTTGCGCTGTCGGCACTTGAGGGCAGCGACCCTGATACACGTTAGTAGCTTGAAGTTGGGATGGGGAAAAAAGACATACCTATTGCGCTCGAGGAAGTTCTTGCGCTTCTCCTCGTCGGTCATCTTGCGGCCCTTGCTGTCGTACTCCTCCTCCTTGATGTTGTTCTCGTCATCAGAGTCGCCGTCATCCATGTCGTCGCCCATGGGCTGGTTGGCGTTGCTCTTCTTTCTTGAGTTCTTGGGGCCGTCTTCAGCTTTGCGCTTGTTTCCGGCAGCTTGTTTGCCATTAGCGGCGCCCTTCTTCGCACGTGACCGTGTACCAGTCTTGTTTTGCTCACTCTGGCCGCTCTCTGAGAAGTCACCGGTCTCTGCAGATTGAACGCTGTTGATGGAACCCTTGGTGTCACGGCGGCCATGATTGGCGTTGACGGGTTGGACGGGCATGTGCCCGGCATTCATCGATTGCTGTTGGGGAGCCATCGAGTAGGGTGGCTGGTTGTTGCGTGCAGCGCCGTTTTGGCTGGCAAAGGACAGCAGGTCGTTAGCGGCACTGCTGACGTCATGGTTTGGATAAGGCTCGTTCTGGGCGCGCTGTTGTGGCTGCTGCGCCTGCTGGTAGTTGTTGTTAGGGCGGTCCATTCCTGCGGTCGCGGCTTCGGGCTGCGACGTGGGCGCGTTGGAGGTGGCTTTGTTGTTGTTAGCTTGGTGTTGAGCAGCGGCGCGCAGAGCAGACTGCTGGAAGTCGGCAGTACCAGGTGTCACGCCAGCACTTTGGAGATTGAAGATGGCTTGGGTGTTCGGGCTAGGAGCTGGGAACATGGAACCACCGCCGCCAGGAGTAAGGCCGGTGCGGAGAGAGGATTCGTTCGGGGTTGGGAAGCCTCGGAATGACTCGCTAAAATAATCTGTCTGTCCAGTCGGCCCGCTCAGCATAGCAGGGCTCAAGGGTCCTGCGCGTAAGCCCTGCCACCCCGGTGTGATGCCCGGTAGGGGTGATGGTGACGTAATGTTCGCAACGGGCGGAAGAATAGGTCGGCCTCCAGGTGTCTGTAGGTTGCCAGACTCGCCGCCAAAGGACTGCTCGAAGACGTTTGGCTCGAGCGAGAAGGGGTTGTGGACGGTGTTGAAGTAGTCGGGAGTATCGCCAGTGGTCGAGGGCGCGGGCTTTGGTGGAGGCGCCAACGGCTGGGCATTGGTGGTTGCGGGTTTGGCAGCGTCTGCGTTGGTGGCCGCTTCGGTGGTCGCAGCTGGCGGTGGGTTAGCATCGTGTGCTGGTGGACGACGAGATGGATGCAAAGCGACAGTTGACAGCCGACGGTGATGTTGGGACGGGACTACTTACGCTGTACCTTGGGCGACGACTCGGCCTTTACTGGCTCAGCTGATCACAATGTTAGTAATGCTTGCATGTGCGATGATGTGACGGCGAGGATGACGACGATGCATACGCGCGCGACGCAGGCAGGGAAAGGGGAGGTGTGGGAAGCAGCAGCGGTGAGGGCGTCACGGGGCAGCAGCGACGGGGACATACACACCTTCAGTCTTGGTGACGGTAGGAAGAGATGTTTTGCTGTCCTTGGGAGAGGACATCTTGGAGGACGGGGAGGAGGTTCGAGCGGTTTGGGTTGCGGCTGCCATACTTTGGGGTGGTGACGTAGGGGTGGTGTCCTGGTCGATCGCTTGTGGTACCGGGCCTTGACCTCTCTTCGCTCGCTCGCTCACACGCACGCGATTCGGCTTCTCTCGACGGTTTTGGGCGCACACGGGCGACTCGAGCACAATAGCACCTGTGCTGTTCGGCGGAGCTGTCAGCGCACGGAATTACAGGTGCAGGCACGATGCGACGGGCTGGGTGCAGGCAGACGACGGGCGCAAAGGGCTGTCGCAGACGCTGGGAACGTGGCAAAGTCGGCAGCGCAGATAACAACAGCGCGGCAGCGGCAGGGCAGGGCAGGACGACACGACTACGTACCTCAGCAAAAGGAATCGAGCGCGGCAGATGCGGGGTCGAGCCGTCTCAATCCGATGAATATCGATATTGTTGACCGCCGGCTCTGTCGTCGCAAAGCTGGTGTCTGCTTGTCAAAACCAATAGTGACGTCAAGCCCCTGTGGTGACGCTCGCAGCCGTCGCAGTCTCTAGACCTACACGCGCGCTGACTCTGCACGACTCTAGGCAATCCGGGGCTGTGGAAGCGCGTGATGGATGTTCCTGATCTCAATGAGGCTCAAACCGGCGTTGACGGGGATTGTGCTCGTGGTGACGATGACAGTGAGGCGTTCGGCGATGAGGTCAGAGGACAGGACGAGCGAGCAATTTCTGGGAGTGACGCAGCTGTGCCAAGCGCATAACGTGATTTCTTGGGTTCGTAATCAAACCCGGCCGCTAGTCCGCTCTGAGGGCCAATCACTGCAGCCGAGGCCCCACCGCCTTCGCTGGTCCGCCGATCCGCAGCCCCTTTTGGCTCGCCTGCCACGAGACGCTTTCCGGCACTGGTCCCGTCGAAGCACCCCAGCCTTCCATTCACTGCAAGGACTATTCCCGCCCACCGCATTTTCCTCTCCTCCAGCACGCTGCGATAAGACACACGTAGGAGGTTGATAATGCATCGTTCACAATGACCGCATCGACGACTGCTACCACTTCCATCCCTGCCTCTCCACCCGCAGGGAAGGAACCTCGAAGCTACTGGAGCCGACACTCTGCAACGGCCAGCGGATCTGATTCTGCCAGGTGCCGGTCCCGTTCCAGACCTCGATTCACGCATGTTTCGCCGATCTACATCGTCTACTCGCATCGGCAAAGTACCAGCCCTCGCGCGGACTTTGCAACCGCTGTCCCAATCACACCATGCCAAAGTTTCATCGTCTTCTTTTTCCCGATGCTCATCGAGATCGTGATGTCCATGTTGTCTAATGCAACAAGCGTGGAATGCAGGAGTCGGATGTTTGGCATTCTGTAATCAACAAGTGGGTGGGTGGCAGGGCGATGCCAGCCTCCACACCCTAAAGACGTATCACGAACGTTAGGGACGACGGCTATTCCGCTTCCCCGTACCTTCTTGATTCTTGCTGCTTGGCCGCATGGGTCTGGCTCATGCGAGCGATCAACTATCCGCACGTAGCGCATGAGCGTGCAGCAAAGCTTAATTGTGACGTAGTTATTGACCTTTGATCTCCACTGGCGCACAACACTGCTGTAGAGCCATCTAGTCTCGCCAGACTTGCAGACTGAGGGTTACACATCTGCTTCTTCCCCATCAGACAGGTGTTTTGCCTAGCTTTCATTTGAAACTCACACTATTGGTGATGCTTTTGATCGCTACTACGACACCAATCGGATCCAACTCCATCTACACCGGAGCATGCTTTTACTTCCAACAACACATGAAATTTGATAGCTCATGATATTGTCAAATAGATTTGAATACCCTGATAGCTCGGGGTAAAGCTGAAACGGCATGGAGGAATGAGCAACATTGATCGAACGCAAATCAACTTCGAAATTCATGACAGGTCGATGTGGAAGGGGTCTTCTTTTCTGTTGACTGGAGACAAGTAAAGAGAAAGGTATTTCTGGAAACACATGAAGCAAAAGCCAAACATAACTTGCTTCAGCTAAACATCGACGCACGAGATGTACAGCTTTGCAAGGTATGATTTAGCATACAATACACAATCTTTTCCTCTTTCCATAAACAGATGATGTCGAAGAATCGCCACACAACAACTAAGATGCTCGGGGTGCATCTTTCCGAACATCCCCCTTTCTAATCCATCTTAATGTTACTTCACCTAGGCATCTCTATGCAGGTGCTGTATCGGCTCTATAAACTGTAAGCCTCCGCTAGAACTTACACAATGATGTAGCAACAAAATAGAGAAGAAATCCGTAACACCATTTACCTCAACTCACACATTAGGGAGAGAGTGAGACGGCTATATAGTAACAAATACCCGACTACCTAGGTATGTGCACAGAGATAGAAGAAGAAGTACGTAATTCAACTGACCAAGGGGTAGAGCAGGTCTTTTGTTTGGTCAATGCGAATTGCATATGAGCCACCAAAGTAGACTTTACACATCAGCAAGATAATAATGAAATCTTCGCGTCGGGACGTCGTCGAGTTTAGGTACGCGGCGTCCGGCGCGTAGTACAGCATCGGGGAGCTCCGAAGTGGGCTGGAGGGGTAGCTACCGCGTACAACAGCAGGAAGGTACCGCAGATCTGTCTTCGCGCGATTATCATATCTACACTCACAAACACTCTTTCTGTTTAACCTTCCCAGGTCTAGACATCATTGACCACACGGCCTTACCTCACAAACACTACGCGCACACCCGCACACCTTTACAACCGCATGTCCACCACGCACCGCATCACCGCCCTCACAAACCACCTCTCCCCACCCACAACCTCCACCGCAAAGATGTCGACCCCCGAAAAGAAACCCCCAATAACCTGCCACGTCCTCGACACAACCCTCGGGCGCCCCGGCCCCAACATCCCCGTAACCCTCACCCTGCACCCCACAACCACCACGAGCACCGCCTCAACCCCCAAATTCACCGGCCTCACAAACGGTGACGGCCGCGTAACCGCCTGGACACCCAGCACGCCCTTCTCCTCCGCGAGTCTGGAAGAAGTATTTGCGCAAGAGGGAGACCAAAAGTACAGTTTGACGTTTGATACTGAGCGCTACTTTGGGGAGAGGGGGGTTAAGACGTTTTTCCCGGAGGTGGAAGTCAAGTTTTTGGTGAGACAGGAGGCGAAGGGCGAGCATTATCATGTGCCGGTGTTGTTGGGGCCGTTTGGGTATACGACGTATCGGGGGAGTTGAGGAGGTCGTGGAGAGGTAGGATGGGTGGATGGATGGAGTGAGTGGAGTAGAAAGAATGAGTTGGAAGTCAAGGTACATATTTACATCTTGACTGTTTGTCAATCTCGAGTCCAGGACATCGGTGTCACGATTCTGTCTTCGAGGTACAGCGGGAACCTGCATTCAGTGTGCTTCCATCTCCCAATGGTAGGGCAGCACAAAGTGCGACAGTGTACATGAGAAGAGATTCGCGTAGAACACGCGCACCAATACTCTGGGTCGATTCGTCTCACAGTGCGGCTACGACACGGCTGCCTGTGCACTCGATACATGCCAGTGCTATATCTAGAACACGTTGAAACCCGCGAGGAGTCCGAGCTCCATCGCAACTATGCACACTCACTTCACTCAAGCACCACGTACAAGTTCAATGATGATGGTGATGTGGTATCAATTCTTCATTCGCACCTATCTCCCCTCCCCTCTTATCCCAGTCCATCCATATCACCCAGCTTCGGGCGCTCACTAGCTCGCTCGCTCAGCGCTCGAATACATACATACAGGAATATAAAAACCGTGCGGTGGTCATCGCACCACGTCCGTCAGAGCTAGACGTTAAGTTGAAAAGATCAGAATCAGATCATGACAGAATAAAAGATGCTTGGATATCAATGAACGAAAAAACACGGAAAGTGTGACTAATGCATCCGAGATGCCAGATCTCGGCCGTCGTAATGCCTAGATCCAGAGAAGAGAAGTGGAAAGGAAATGGTGTGAGTGCCGCAGTGGCTGGATATCTTCGCAGATTTAACATAGATGGTGCCCAGTTCGCTGAAGCTGGGTAAAGTAGACGCCGTTGAAATCAGCGATATAGAATTCATCATTTACAACCCGCTCTTGTGGTTGTCGGAGAACGGGCTCTGGTCCCTTCTGTTGGAGACGGTGCTGCCGCGTTTTGACGCCGATGACTCCTCTACAATAGGTGTCATCGGTGTGCGAAGGCCGAGCGAGGTGTCGTATGATGTGATGCGTGAAGACATGATGGGTCGCGGTGGTTCGAGCGACGAGCTGTCTGCGAAAGGACTTCGGTCCATGGTAGGCGTGCCGTCCCGGGAATCAGGGTATGGTGAGCCGCGGTCGCTGCCCGAGTTGCTACGAAGTAGTGTTTGTCGTGCGCGTACGTGGTCATCGTCGGATTCGTCCCCAGAGTCGGATGCTAAGCTTCCTCTTCGTGCACGCGAGTGGGCAGCACCGTCATCCGATGAGGCGGTAGAGTAGCCGGTGAGTGGGCGCGCAGAGGGTACGAGGACTTCGGGTGTGTTGACGAGTGTTCGGTCTGCGCTTGTCGTCGAGTTTGATGAGCTCTTGGGTGGTGTGATGTCGGAGCTCCTCTTCTTAGTGATGTTGAGGGCACGGACAGGGCCAAGTTGTGCGGTGCTTCGGACGGAGTTTGCGGGGCTGATGCCAGGCATGTGAATGCGGATGGGCTTCACGGTGTGCTTGGGGTCGATTGAAGGTACAGGTGGTGTCTCCATGCTGGGTGTCTCTGCCGGGCTGTTGGTCGCAGTCGACTTGACGCTGACGACAGCTGCCTTGCCGCGTACGATGGTCTGAGCTGGGAGAGGAGAGACGATGGCGTTTTGTCGGTACATGGTCGATGCAACGCTGCCTCGTTGGGCGAGACTGGGAGCGATGCTTGTGCGGCCGGCGGTGCTGGCAGACATCATGGAGTCGCGGAAGTCGGGAACGAAGAAGTGCTGGTCGGCGGTCGAGTACGGGGTGCTCATGCCAGACGAAGGCGACATGGCAGGAATCGGAGGCACGGGAGGGACAAGCAGGTCGGGCGATCCGGGGCCTGAGCGGTTCGTGACGCCGGGGATGTAGGCGATCTGGATGATGTTGGAGGCGCGGGTGAGGACGGACGAGGCCATCGAGGCAACGGTGTGTGTGGACGCGCGCGCGCTCCGCCGTGACTGGAAGTCGTTCTCGGCCTTCTCTTGCGCCGTCATGTCGACATCCTGCCATTCGCTGCGCTGGGACATGGGCCGCCTCTTTCCCTTTAGGCAGTACTTCCATACGATGAATGTGAGAATGGCGATGAAGGCGATCCCGCCGATGACTCCTCCGGCAATGGCACCGACGTTTGGCTTGCTGGCAGGAGCATCACCTGCCGTGGGGTCGGGCTGGCAGCCGACGGAGGCGCACTGGTCGCATGTTCGTGAGTTCTGGACGCAGACCTCGTTGGCTCTGCACTTGATGCCCTCGCAGGACAGTGCAGCCGTCTCACACGCGACGCATCGCTTTTCTACCCGGAAGACATTCTCAGCGTCTGGCATCGTGTTAGCGGGCTGTCATATGCAGTCACGTCGCTGCAGGGTCGCAGATCGTACCTCTGAGCGCACGGATGGACATGGCAACGGTGGATGGGGTGGTTAGGGGATCAGCAACCCCAGGTGAAGAAGCAACGAGGGCCAGCTGTCAGCTATGGGCGCACCCGGTGGTGTGCGACGCGGATCGTGAAGGAGTCGCACGGCGGAAATAGCACGGTGCGACGGTTTTGAGCGGTTCGAGTGCCTGGCGACGGGGACAAAGAAAGCAGGCGAGAATAGACGGCGCTACGGAGAATGGGAAGGTGCGAAGGGTGGCGGGCGAAGTCTTGTACGGCGGCGCGAAGGGTGGTAACGAGTGACTGGGGACAAAGGCGACGCAACAAAGAAGCAACAGCGGTGATGCGGCGCAAAGGTGGTGAGGAACCTGAGGACGAGGGCGCAGTAGCGTGGTCAGACGGGCGTGGCTCTTGGGTGTTGGGGCGCCGGCTGGGGTGGGCCGCGCGTGTTTCGTCCCTACGAGCTGGGGCCTGAGGGTGAGGTGTGCCGACGGGCGACAATGTCGATGAGCACGCGAAAATGTCCGAAACGCTCTTTCTTTTTGTCGCTGCCTCAGAGCTGCGATCGTCGTGCACTCGACCTGGCCGTTGCGGAGGGGGAGACTGTTACAGACACTGTTACTGCTCTCTTTGAAGCACCTGACTGGGGACCTAAGCCACGGCCGTTCTGGGCCAAGCGGCCCTCGTGTGCATAACCTTAATCTATTTATTGCAGCCTCAACCGGGCGACCGAACGCCTCCAGCTGCCTCACCACCAGCGCCCATATCACGGCCTCGCCCGGCCTCATCTATTCACATTCCGCGCATCGCTTTCTTTCATCTGCTCTCGCACGCCGCTGCACAGATTTGCACTCATCTGCTGCCGGCGCTGACCGGGACTTGCTGACCTCAGGTACGGGATCCAGCCGCTAGCAGAGCCTCCCGCACCGTCATTGGCCCTTCGCTCTTGGGTAAATAGTCAATTGCGCGTCTAGATTCATCTCTCCGCAGCGGCCAATATATCGAGCATCCACCTTATCTCCCACCACGTGCAGCCTCCTTCACCCATCCATACTACTGGATACTACTCCCAACGGCTTACCCATTCACGGCGACACCTCCAACTCCGCGCAAGCCACTTCAAGCCTCAGGCTACATGTATCCGTTTCCTCTCACAGAAACATGTCAGCCAAGCTCCACCCACCTGCAACACTTCTCTGGTCGAGCACCTGTCAGGTCCAACACCGCCGCAGGTATCGCACCAGCACGACTGCTGCCCGCCTGATGTGCCAGGCACACTGGCTGCCCTACTAACATGCTTGCGAAACACGACGAACCACGGCCGACCATATTTACCCTTTTCTGTGGGGTTAACCCGCATCCGCCCTTTCATTTCCCCAACCCAGCCACTCACAACAGGGCCTGTGAAACTTTTGTACCACCATCCGCTGTTATCGCGATGGGTGTATTATGGGGTCTCCCTTGCGCTACCCATCGCTGATTATCTCCCGCTGCTGATCCAAAAGTCGAGACCGTGGCTTGGTGACACTGCGCGCTCACTGGCAGGTTTGCCGTTGCTGACATCCGAGATTTGCCAGACTGTGATATAGGTGTCGAGTAATAACATTCGCAAGAAGCAATCACTACATCAATCTCTCAACCCCTAATCAGAGCTCGCGCCGTTTGACGTCGCTACTGACCATACATCCTCGGCCGTCTTCTCGTTGATAATCTCGCAGTATAGTGGAGGTCTTTTTGTCTTACTTCACCCTCCAACAACCGCATAACCTCGGCTCAATCTTCGCCGTCGGGTGACATCTTGCAGTGTAGCAGAAGTTACTTTTCGGACTATTCAATGCTTCACAGGGTCCTGAGCTCAACGGACTTCCGATCTGACCTACCCTTGATGACGGACGAGGCGGTCCGCCACCGGGTACACTTGAAACGGCTATCTACCCGTGGTCAAAGACTATCACGTCCACTCGCTGTCCGAGGGTTTGACCCCTCCGGCGGTCACTGTTGCCACTGTTCTTCTGTTGCCCTGTGAGCATCGGGTACGATGTCATCTCTGCCTATTGTCCAACGGCGTGATGTATCTTCACCATCTAGCAGCAAGCCTTGCGTTTCAGTGTCAATGATAGACCCCGTGGATGAACCGTCGTAGCCGGAAATAAGCTGCACGAATGGTTTGAAGTGTTGGCTGAGCACGCTGGTGTTGTTTGTACACGGCAAAGTACCTACGCTCTGCAAGAAACACATATACCCCGAAAGATGTTTTGCAGCGCGGACGGAGGTCATATAGTTCATGGTGTACTTTCCTCCATAGCTGCATCTCACACGCTCAACCCAACAAACGGATATGCAAGAGCGCCTAGACTCCACGACGAGTCTGCTGCTTTCGTCTTGTATTGACCAAGAGCATCAGATAAATGTCCTCGCCAATCGCTCCCAGCAAAGCTCTGCACCTGCAGCTCATTCATCCATACCCTGCGCCTGGAATCGGAG